ATTTCAGACAATTCCATTGAAAAATGTGGCTAAAATCATCAAAATACCGAATATAGGCAGGTACCGTGATATGGGCGATATACAAAATCGTAGACTTATATAGACAGTTCTTTTTCAGTGGTTAAAGTAGTTACGAAGAACTCCTTTGAAAAAAATTCCATTGAAAAATGTTGCTAAAATCATGAAGATACTGAATACCGGTGGTAACGTTATATGGGGGCCATTCGATATCGTGGATCAATAGGGCTAAATCACCTTAGAATTTTACGCTGATCAAGAATATACAGGGTGATATGAAAAAACTGCCATCAACTTCAGACTGCTGTCATTTCTCAGCCACTCATCCGACAGCTGTTAACATTATTCCAGTGACAGCTAATTACCAATGCATTTTGGTGAGAATTTTCTAGAAAAAGTTATTCGTGGTGAAATTCAAGTTAGATAGTGTGATTTCTTTATATTTGGCTGGAAAACCACAAGTGGCTATCGTTAGAGCACTCCAGAATTTAAATATGAATAAAGCTCTGGTGTCTCGTACCATAGCTCGTTACCGTGTTACTGGTAGCGTAGCTAGACGTCAAGGAAGTGGATGGAAGAAAACAGCAACAGCAGAAATGGTTCGAAAAGTAAAGAAGCGACTTGATCGACCCCTCGCGTCGCAGTGGCCGAAAAATGGCTAGTGATCTGAACATATCGCAATATTCCATTCGCCAAATATTGAAAAATGAGCTCGGGGTAGAGCTAAACAGTTGCTTCGATTGGCCGAAAGTGGTGAACTTCCGAATATGAATTTACTTGCCAAAGAGGTCAGCTGAAAAAGTGGACCTTCGGTTGGCCACCAGAACTCAGACACCGACCGTGGTTATGGTGTGGGCCGCCATAACAGCCGATTGCCGCTCTCCGCTCGTATTAATCAACCGTGGTATAAAAATAAATGCCGAATATTATCACGAAAATATTCTGGACGGTGTATTAAAGACTTGGACACGCAAACATTTTGTCCGCAGACCTCGGACATTCCAACAGGACTCAGCACGCATCACCCAAAAATGGTTACAAAATTAGGTTCCTCGCTCAATGACCACCAAAATCTCCGGATACAAATTCGTTGGACTATTGTATCTAGAATATTTTGAAAAGCAATGTTGGCACTATAAGATACTAAAGTGTCCATCACCTCAATCAAGCGTTTCGCCGCTAAGGGGCCAAAATACCGCATTGCAACATTCGGGCAGCGTCTGACGATTTTACGGCCGTTTGAAGGCCATAATTCTTACCAAAGGTGAATTGGTCACCTTTCTAAACTTATTCTAAAATTTGATGCTATTTCTGACACTTTTTGCTTTCATTCAAAAAAATTAAAAAAAAAAATGTAAAAATTATGGCGTTTGACTTTGTTGCAGTTTTTTTATTTCACCCTCTATATATCCAAAGAATAGGTTGACATAGCCAGATCGATACAAGGTATTGTCAGCTTACATTTTTTCCAGCATCGAATGGAGTGGAGAAAGTTTTTCTCCACTTGTTAATCACTTACCACTATGTTCAAGGTATCATGGATCAATATACATTATAATAATAATGATTTCCACTGAAATTATCTTCACTGGATCTTTCTAATACAGGGTTGCCCTTATTTGACGGACCTTTGGGCCCATTCCAATCGACGAGGCTTGTCCGTAAGCAAAATTTGTTGCGTCAAATCAATGCGTATTATCCGTTGTAAAGTGGACCGAGCCATGCCCAACTGCTCAGTGGGTTTTTGGGATGTTCTTGGGGACCTCTCGTACGGCAGCGATATTCTCGGCCGATCGCCTTGGTCGACTTTTATATGGCCTCTTCGAATTAGAAAGAGCAATACCAGTCGAAAATTTTTCGTATAAACGCTTAATGGTGTTCTTAGAAGGCGCACTTCTCACAATTGACTTCTTCTGTTGAATGTAAATTTCAACTATTTCAGAGCGCTCGCGTGGCGTTTATTGGTTCATGGTAAAAATCTGCTTGGACTGACACTTCAAACGCGGTATGTCATTAAGCGATGTGACATCTCTATCAAAAGTTATGGCGTTGCCAGATGGGTCCGTCGAATATGGGCAACCCTGTAGATGAAACTATACCTCTTTCTAAAAGATGAAACCTATGTATGTCCGTAACAAGTATCAATCACTCTTTTCCCACTCGCGTTACTTTCATTCTCCTCTAGCCTTTGTTTTTCGCAAAGAAATTTAGCAAGAAAGCAATTTCGAAATTACTTTAAAAATGGCATCCCAGCTTCTTTCTTTTCCTATACGTTTTTTTTTAAATAACAAATCAATTTCGACTGATGTTTATTTTTAAACATGAAAGAGATTATCGGATTGGATTTGTAATAAGATTACATATTATTTAGACCACACATTTTGGCCAGATTTCTGTTCTTGATGTTGTTGTTGTTAAATAAATAAATAATTACAAATGAATTTGAAATTTTGCACACAAAAAGAAACGAAGGCAAATAATCAATTGGATTGAAATGGATTGATGTATTGTTATCGTTTGACGAAATGTTGAAACGTGTATTTGAGGGGGGAAGTATGAGTGTTAATGGGGTTTTATATAATTTTCTTTTACTGATTTGTTTCATATTTTCGTGAATTTAGGCCAGTGTTAAATAACAGGCATTTTATTGTGAAAAATTCCTGAGAAGACATGATCCAAAAATAACCAGGGCGGGCCCGAATATATGATATCCTACACCACTATGTGCATTTAGTAGAACTCCGGTAACAAAAAAAGTTTTTATTGGGAATTTATGTGAAGTAGATCATACCAACTATGATCCATGTAGCATTGCTGTTTAATACATGATATGACTTTGATAAGGAGCAATAGATTTAGATGTATTGGAGCAATGATGTACCGAACCGGGTTTCACTAAATGGTAAAATTCGGTTGAATATGAAGAAATCTATTCAATTTGGGTTGATATTACATATAAAGGGTGAGATAAAAAACTGCAATAAAGTCAAACGCCAGAATTTTTATTTTTAAATTTTTATGAACGAAAGCAAAAAATGTCGGAAATAGCATAAATAACGAATTATGGCCTTCAAACGGCCAATGAAACCGTCAGACGCTATCCGAATGTTGCTCTGCAGTATTTTGGCCTATTCCCGGTGAAGCGCTTGCTTGAGGCAGTACGCGGTATTTTTTAGTGCCAAACTTGCTTTCCAAAAAAACTCCAGACACAATAGTACAACGGATTGGTATCCGGAGATTTTGGTGGCTATTGTGCGCTGGAATTGAAGCGAGAAACCTCATTTTGTAACCTTTTTTGGTTGGCGCGTGCTATGTGTGATGGTGCTGAGTCCTGTTGCTATGTCCAAGGTCTGCGGCCAAAATGTTTGCGTGCTTTTAACACCCTCCAGAATATTTTCGCGATAATATTCGTCATTTATTCTGATGCCACGATCGATTAATACGAGCGGAGGGCGATCATATGCTGTTGTGGCAGCCCACACCATCACCGTGGCAGGCGCTTCATTTCTGGTGGCCAACCGAAGGTACACATTTTCAGCTGACCTCTTTGGCAAGTAAACACGATCATTTTGTTTGTTTACAAACTGCTGGACAACGAATGTTTTCTCATCGGAGAAAATCAAATTCGGCAGTTCACACTGTCGGCCAAGCGAAGCAACTCTTCAGCTCTTTTAAGTCTACTTTCTTTCTGTTGCGGTGTAAGTTCTTGCACTTTTTGGAATTTCAATGGCTGTATACCGAGCTCATTTTTCAATATTTGCCGAATGAAATATTGCGATATGTTCAGCTCACGAGCCATTTTTCGGCCACTGCAACGCGGGTTTCGATCAAGTCGCTTCTTTGCTTTTCGAACCATTTCTGCTGATGTTGCTGTTTTCTTCCGTCCACTTCCTTGACGTCGGGCAACGCTACCAGTATCAGTTGACGGCAATGAGCGATGGTAGGAGACACAAAAGATTTACTCACAGTTAAATGCTGGAGTGCTCTAACGGAAGCCACTTCTGGTTTTCCAGCCAAACATAAAGACACTATCACGCTTGAATTCCATCACGAATAACTTTTTTTTTTTGGAAAATTCCCACCAAAACTCTTTTATACGCTTGTAAACAATGTAATGAGCTGTCACTGGAATAATTTTAACAGCTGTCGGTCGAGTGGCTTAGAAATGATAGCAGTATGAAGTTGGTTGCAATTTTTTAACCCCATCGTGTATATGGGAGCTATATAAAAATCAGAACAGATATCGATAACATTTGAAAGAGGCATTTTCGAGCAGTATCTAATGCCCAGTGTTAAATATCATTTTTGTGGAGTGCATATTGCGCATGTGAGGGACTGTGACACCAAATCGGATAAACATATATATGAGAGCTATTGCTATATCTGAACCGATTTTCACTAAATTTTAATTACTTATTTCTCGGACTAATTTCATTCGGAATTGCCAAAATTCAATCCATTTGGGCTGATATTGGCCATTTGGTACTCAATTGACACGAAGTCGGTTGAATATATATGGAAGCTAAATTTGAACCGATTATCACTAATTTCAATTGGGTTCGTTCTTGGACCAAACAAATATTGTTTGGAAAATTTCATCTCAATCGGATAATAAATGCTACCTGCATTTTGTTCACAAAAATACATTGACAGAGGGACGAACTTTCATGCATAAGTCGACTCAGAAAGTGATTCTATGAAGATCATCAAAAGTAACTATGGCTCTATCTCGGTTCCTTCTCAATGCACACACACACGCATACATTATTATCGACAGCTTTACTTGTATTGGTATCTGGAGATTTGGGTGGCCATTTTACGCTCGAAATGAAGCGAGTAACCTTATTCTGCGACCAAAATGTTTGCGTGTCCAAGGCTTTAATACACCGTCCAGAAAATTATCGACAGCTTTACTTGTAATATCCAAAGTCATTTCTTTGCTGAGTTATTATGTTTCTTTATTCACCATATTTTTTTCTCTTTACAGATTCAAAAAAAAAAGAAAAAACTTCAAACGTACCGGTAAGTTTAGTTTTCTTGGAGAAACATCATAATTTAATTGTAAAACATATTAACCTTAAACCAACCACCCTAAGGACATATCCACTTCCGTAGAGTTTTCTTCATGGCATTACGAGTAAATATTATATGGGTTTTATCTTGTTACAAAAATATAAAAAATGTAATATATTTTACCATCATAAACATATTTTCAACAAATTTATAAAGTTCAGCTAAAGTTTTTACATTGTATTTTATCTCGCTTGGGATGCTGTTTGTTGCCGTTGGCATTAAAATGTAAAAAAAAACCATAAGCATAACTTAAAGAGTGTTATGACTTTAGGGTACATTATCTAGTTTATGATTTTTTCATTTTTTATTTTGTTGAATTCGAAGTATCAACATTGATACTTCACAATTCTTAACATATGTAATAACAAAAAAAACTTGAAAAACAGAAAAAAAGTAAGAAGATAACTTCGAATAAGCCTAGAGCTATAATATCATAAACATATGAACAGTTTATATTTCAAATGCAGGAAGTTGTTTTAAATGAAAAAATTCAGCGTCGTCATATATAAAATGAATGTTTAGGATGCTCTCTTGCGAACTTGATATTCTTTGGGAAAGGTCTTTTTTTTTTTTTTTTTTGAAAAAAAAAAGGCTTAAGACAAATAATTATTTACATCCTGGGAAGTTTAAGGTTTTAATTCTTAAACCCATTAACAAATATTTTAGAGCAACACAAATCAAATGAAAAAGTATCACTTGGCTTACCGACTTGCAAGGCATAGTTTGTTTTATATTCAGAAAACAAACGACAGGGAGGGGAAAAATAGTGGATTTTTAATTAATTCATAAGGTTTCCCAGCAAAGGTCCCTGAACAATTCTTTAAAAAATATTGATTTTCCAACAGAGATAGGGACCTTGAATAGATCATCGATAGCTTGGAAATCTTTAACAACAATTCTATGCACCTCCGATAAGATCTCTTGAAAACGTCCATCGTGTCAGGGCCCATATCAAATTAAAAAAAAAATTTTTCTTCGAAGGGCCTTGTAAAGCTTATTTTAAAAGAATCCACGATTTTCCTTCAGAAAGATTTTGTTAAGTATATTCTAAAAATTCATAATTTATATCTGCAATGATTTTTCAAACTTTTGTATGCCAGGTAGGGAACATATATCTTAAAAATGTTCGCACCCAAACTGAGTTAGTTACAAATATGCGTAATATTTGAAGTAAAATTTAAATTCGGTCGTAGACTACGTTAGCTTTTATATTCGGTGAAAAACCTGTAACCAACTTCAGACTGCTGTCTTTTCTAAGCGTAGCCCGACGTCAAGGTAGTGGACTTGATCGAAACCCGCCTCGCAGTATCCGAAAAATGGCTCGGAAGCTGAACATATCGTAATATTCCATTCGGCAAAAATATTGAAAAATGAGATCGGGGTAAAGCCATTGAAATTCCAAAAAGTGCAAGACCATACACCGCAACAGAAAGAAAATAGACTCAAAAGAGCTAATGAATTGCTTCGCTTGGTCTAAAGTGGTGAACTGCTGAATTTGGTTTTCTCCGATGAGAAAACATTCGTTGACCAGCAGTTTGTAAACAAATAAAATGATCTAGATTACTTGTCAAAGAGGACTCAGCATTTTCGAACTCAGCACGCGGTTACAAAATGAGGTTCCTCGATTCATTTCCAGGGCACAGCGGCCACCAAAACCAACGGATACCAATGCGTTGGTTTATTGTGTATGGAGTATTTTGGAGAAAGAAAAATACCAAAGTGTCGATCACCTCAAGCAAGCTCTTCGACGGGAACGGGCCAAAATACCACAGAACAACAATCTAGCAGCATGTGACGTTTTCATTGGCCGTTTTCAAATTTATACTTATTCTAAAATGTGATGCTATTTCCGGCATTTGTTGATTTCAATCAATAAAATTTAAAAAATGTGGCGTTTGACTTTATTGCAGTTTTTTTATCTCACCCTGTATGAAAGCCTGAACCGATCTCGATAAAATTTGGCACAATTGTTTTCGATCCGTATCTGATTTCCGGTATCAAATATCATTGTTGTGAAGTGTATATTACGCATGTGAGAGATTTTAGCATCAAATCTGAACCGTTTTTCACCAAATTTTAATTACTTACTTCTAGACTGAATTCGATGGTATGTGCCACAATTCACTCTATTTGGGCTGACGTTAGCAATTTGGTGCGCAATAAACCTGAAATCGGAATAAGGATATATATATGGGAGCTATATCCAAATCTGAACCAATCTTGGCACCAGATATCAAATACACTTATTTCAGAGCTGTATCTGATATCTGGTACAAAAGATCAATGTTGTGGGCTGCATATAACACATGAGAGAGACATAAAACCCCAAATCGGCTGAAACCTGTATATGGAACCTATAGCTTTATCTGATCCAAATTTGATGTACTTGCTTCTTTACAGAATTCGGTCGGATGTGCCAAAATTCGAATCATTTAAACTGATAGTGGCCATTTGGTGCACAATTAACCCAAAATCGGCTGAAAATATATATGCAACAAATGCAAACAGACATAATACCCTTACCACTATGTGGTGTAGAGTATAAACATTTCTTCGAAGGACGTTGACAATTTTTTTGTTAAAGAATCGAAGATTTTCCGTCAGAAAGATGTTAAGTAAATTTTAAAAAAATATAATTTATAACAGCCGGGAAATGTTGGTAAGGAGGGTATATTTATATACATTGTCATTCCGTTTGTAACATCCCCAAATATTCGTCGTAGACCTCATAAAGTAGGTATATATGTTTATAATTAGAATAAAATTCTAAGTCGATCTAACGATGTCCATCTGTCTGTTGAAATAACGATACAGCCCACATTATTTCATGTGGAGCGTCAAAATTTAGCAGAACAATTTGTATTGTGTCTAGAATGGTTGGTATTGAAAATGAGTTACTCGTATATCGGCCCACGTTTTGGTATAGACCCCCACATATCAGTACCTCCCGATATTCGGTATTTTCATGATTTTTACCAAATTTTATCACGGATTTGTCTCAAAATTGGCATTTGGTGGTCATAATGGGTTCTTTCTCCGGTGACGAAAATTTGTATGTATAGGTCCACGTTTCGGTATAGCCATCATAAAACGGTACCTCCATATATTCGGTATTTTGACGATTTTTGCCACATTTTTTCACGGATTTGTCTAAAAGTGGTATTTGTGGGTCGTAATGGATTATAGTTCGTATGGTGAAACATTGTATGCATAGATAGCTCCCAAATAACGGTACCTCCCGATATTCGGTGTTTTAATGATTTCTGCCACATTTTTTAACGGATTTATTCCGAAATTATATGTTGGTCATAATGTCTGCCTGCGCACAAGCCTTGTCGATTGGAATGGGCCCAAAGACGCCCAAAGGTCCGTCGAATATGGGCAACCCTGTATGTGTAGACCACGTTTCGGTGTATCCATCATATAACGGTTCCTCCCGATATTCAGTATTTTGACGATTTTTGCCACATTTTTTACGGATTTTTCTAAAATTGGTATTTGTGGGTCGTAATGGATTCTAGCTCGTATGGCGAATAATGGGTTCTACCTCCGGTGTATGTATAGGTCTAGGTTTTGGGATAGCCTCCATATAACGGTACCTGCCGATATTCGATATTTTCATGATTTTTGCTACATTTTTCCACGAATTTTTCTAAAAATTGGTATTAGTAGTTCATAATGGTTTTTAGCTCTGTGGCAGAATATTGAATATTTAGTTCCACGCACATAATTGTTTCAAATTTGGTATTTAAGAAGATTTGATTAATTGTCCATAGAGGTTCCCGTTTTTCACTTTTAGTTATTTTGATAAGTTTAACTGCATTATTCAAACGGTCTTACTGGTATATGAAGTTTAAAGTGAAACGCGATTGAATTCAGATACTTTTATATAAAAATGTTTCCTTTACCCTAAGGTGGAGGGTATTAAAATTTCGGCCGGCCGAACTTAATGATTTTTTACTTGTTTTAATTTAAGATTTATATATGAAGTTCCAATACTATTTAAAGATGTGTTAGGGTACACGAAATTTTAAAAATCATGTTGCGGTTACGATTATAAGATGTGAGAAGTTTCATTAAATCGAATTGTTTCTTTAATGTCCACTACCAAATTTACTGAAAATGTTAACATATGCAAAGCTTACACTTTTTTCGTTCTCACATTTTTTTCGCATAGCTTTTTTAAGACCTTTTCCTCTGTGGAAAAGTTATCAAGACAATTATCCACTGCATACACCGAACCACACACACACCAAACTACATACATTTTATTTTTTATATCCGGAAAATGATTTTCGTTTTCCAATTCTCGTGTGAGTAATTCCTTTGCGCCACATGTGTCAACATTTTTTCCCTAAAATGTCAATAAGGATAAAAATAACTCGTAATGACATATTATATGGCCTATATATGGAATGGCCATCCATTCATCATTGTCATCGAAAGGCTAAAGGCCTAATAGTCAACAAGTGTATGGCATCTTGGACAAAAAATGACACGAAGATTCCTATGTTTATTCAAATGATGAATGGGTATAAAGGTTTATTCATTGACATTCAAAAAAAAAATATATTTTAAACAAATAAAGGAAAATGTCAAATAACGTTTTTTGAGAAAGATTCAAGCAATGGCTTTTTTAGTTCTTTGTATTTTAAGGTAATCTTATATTTTCATTTCATTTCTAAAAAAAATATTTTTATAAACTGTAGCAACTTCTTGCTTCCATGGGGGCCCATAAAATAGTTTATATTTTAGTTTTCACAACAAAACATCCAAAGTTATTTCTTCTGCCGAGAATTTGTTTTTCAATAACTTTTCAGCAGATAAAAGTTGAGAGACAAACGGCAAATGCCTTACGGACGGCAGTTCCTGTTAAGAAATGTAAACGAGTAGCATTAAAAAAATTGGGAAAATAAACTAAATACTCATCAAAAGTTTTCATTTCATTT